TGGCTGGATCAACCATCGGAGAAGACAATGTGGATGCAATGAGTAATTCAGGGAAAGTTACGCAACAGAAGGCAGATTATGGAAGGCAGAAAAAGAAGTAGGAATATTATTGCACAAGTAACATTTTTTTTAAATTTATTGTCATTTATTTTCGATTTTTTTTATTCAGAGAGCATGACTATAGACATGAACTGTTAGCTGAAGCTATGAAAGCTGGCACGCCATTTGCCTTGTGGAACGGGCCGACGATAGTTGCCTGGTTGGAACTGTGGGTGGGAATGCCCGCTTGGTATGTTGCTGCATGCAGGGCTAATGTAAAATCTGGAGCGATTATGAGCGCCTTGAGTGACACGGAAATTCAGCGAGAAATAGGTAATTGATCGTTTCAATTTCTCTTTATTGGAAATAAACAAAACTTTATTTTTGGAAAATCTTGAAATATTTTGCGTAACTAATAGTTGGGCGGCTTTCTAGCTCGCACAGTCGTCCCATTCCTGCGGAAAACACTGTCGTAGCAAAATGGTTAAAAGAACGAATAAATGAAATTTAATAAATATAAAATTTCATATATATATATATATATATATATATATATATATATTATTAATATTATTAATTAATAAATGAATTATTTTTTAGGCATAAGTAACCCTCTACATAGGCTGAAATTACGTTTAGCAATACAAGAAATGGTATCTTTGACTTCACCGTCAGCTCCTCAGACATCGCGCACAACATTAGCCTTTGGCGACATGAATCACGAATGGATAGGCAATTATTGGCTTCCTGGTCTTGGTTTACCTCAGTACAGAACTACGTTTATGGAATGTCTTGTGGACGCAAGAATGCTAGACCATTTAAATAAGAAAGATTTGCGCGGACAGTTAAAAATGGTCGATAGTTTTCATAGGTAGGATAAAAAGATAATATGATATATACATATTTATCTGCATAAAAACAAGCTATAATACAATTGACACAAAATCATTGTATTTTTTTAGAACTAGTCTTCAGTATGGTATTTCATGTTTGAAACGACTGAACTATGATCGCACAGCGCTAGAGGAAAGAAGAAAAATGACAGAGACTATGGTGTCTGATGTCTTAGTCTGGAGCAATGAACGTATAATAAGATGGATTAGTAGTATTGGGTTAAAAGTGAGCTTAATTTAGTTTTTAGTAATACAATTGATTTTTCCGAAAATAATTTTTATTATTTTGTGTTTCAGGAATTTGGAAATAATTTACTCGAATCTGGGGTTCATGGTGCTTTGATTGCTCTAGATGAAAGTTTTGATGCTAACAGTATGGCCTTGGCATTGCAGATACCAACACAAAATATACAGGTATGTTTTTATTCCATTATTAAGAAAATTATTAACCAAACTACAATAATTTTGGGAAAAATACATGCTAGCTTTCTTAACTTCTGTTAGGTTTAAAAGATATTATTTTATTGGAATTCTTTCTAAAGTTGCATATGCATCATTATTATTTGTTTAATATTTTAATTTAATGGATTTCCTTTAATATATCAAATATTCTTCATTATCTTTTCATATATTGTTGATTTTCAAATTTAGGCTCGTCAAACATTAGAGGTCGAATTCAAGAATTTGCTGTTAATGGCAACAGATAGAAGAACTGATGCTGACCTAGTGAAATCTTGATATCAGAGTGGAGCTACTAGTCCATGTCCTGTCACAAGAAGGGCACCCTCACAGGCTCAGTAAATATACTCATACTACTTACAGCACTAAACCAAAACTAACTAACTATTGGTATCCAATAGTCTTAAAATAAGATTAAACAAAATTTTCTTCAGAGATGGAGCAATCGCTGAATGATATGATCGAAATATGGAGATATTGTGTGATAGATTTGATAATAGTTTCTTTAAATATATAAAATAAAAGAAAAAAATAATTTTCCACACATAAGAGTGCTGGTATTGTTTGCTGGCTTATCATTTTTGCTAATTTGATTTTCGGTAAATAATACAGGAATATCACATTAATACGAATGCAGGGACCAAAATCTACTTTGATGTAGAGTGTTACAAAATAGCGGAGCTTTGCGTTCTGAGGAACAAGTGGAATTTCAATTCAGCGGCCACCTAAGTTAAATTTTGAGCAGCTTTTAGTCATAGTGTTATGATTATATTGTATATAATCATAACAATTGATTTTTACAATACATACATATATTACATATTTTATGATTTTTATGTTATTGTTTTATTATGGAATATTTATATGGCTTAAATGTTAATACCTTTTTTATTCTTGGTGAAATTGCTCTCTCTAATGAGTGGTGTGGTTGCATATTATATGTAATTAAAGTATGGACATCTCGATTCATGTTTTATTTTAAATGAAGCACAAAATTTGAATTTGTTATCGGTTATATAGTTGAATACAGGTCAAATCAGTAAATGATGTATGTAAATGATAGCATTAATTGTTCTCTCATGTTTTGAGATGAATGGTTGTTTTGTGTATATATCTAGTTCATTAATTAGTTAAATATCTAATAATCTTATATAAAATTAGTTTTAGAACATTTTCTTTAGATTTATATTGTCTAGAAAAAGTTCTAAAACAAAATATCATCTCATAATACTACATAGATCAACAAAATCATCAAATTGCCATATTTAAATACCTGAACATTTTAATAATATAAAAATATACAATAAAGTTACCTCAGTTCATTACTTAAGATTCACAGCTGTCTTTTTATTTTTCATAGAGACATTTAGATATTTCCTAAATTTGAATTTACTCAGATACTTTTGTGTGGATGTGTATTGCAAAGCAAATCCAAGCCAAGGCTTTTCAGGGATGTACATCTTCATATATAATAGACATATTTTCATACTATGTGAATAATATTCATGAAATAGTTAAATGATCCAAAGAATGAGTCTAATAATCATATTTATATTGATTAAACAATAAACTAATTGATAGTTTAACAAGTTTTTTGTTTAAATGATTTTTATATTTTAAAACTACATTACTTATGATATTTTATTGATCAAAACAATATAGCTTGGTTTGTCAAGTCTATGTTTTAAAGTAAAATATTTTATGATATTAATTTATAATATTTATTTATATTTTACATCTGCAGTGATGAAATTGATGGAGTTTTACTTGTAGATTTGAGATTCTCTTTATAGTTATTCGAATGAGCCGTTGTTTTCAAATAGTAAAAATACATGGTAAATAACAACCTAAACTAATAAATATATCACTATAATAAATCGTTAATAATTTATCATGCATTTCGTGGCTATGGATATCATTTTGCAAATGACATCTTGCATCCTACAGTTTAATTTGATTTTAATATTGTATATATGTAATGATATTCATAAAGAAGCAATTTAGAATATTGGTAAACTGTTGTGTAATGATATGCACAAACATTACATTTTTATTTATAAATATATTATCAGTCATTTAAAATAGCGTGAATAATTCCAGTGATTAGCTTGTAAATTTGTATAAATTTAATTTATGAAATTAAGATATCACAGTTAATTTTTATAACTTCTCTTGAGATAGTATTAACAATATCTATATGTTATAATGTTACCAGTATTATTGGTTTTAAAAGACCATTATCAAAGCATTTGATGAAATAGAGTTTTTATACATAAGTAGTTCTTTATAAGTTGCAAAAGTGAAGTATTGTTGAATAAATGTAAAACCCCACATACCCATTGAAATAATAAAATAAATATTTAAAAAAATGTTTTTTATTCTTAATATTTAAATTTAAAACAATATAAGTCTTATATATTTTTTAATAATTTAGTTAAAAGCCTTCTTGATATTGATGAGAGTTTAATTTTATTATGATGGATTCTATTGAACTGACAACTTTCTTGTTTATTTGTTGATGTTATTGTTGAATTTTACATCAATTTATAATTTGTTGCACTGGCTTCAATAGCCTGTAAATTAATAATTGCATGAATTATTTGGTGACAATGATAATTTTTCCATTTTTTATGTATTTTATTTTTTTTCTCCAAGGATGAACTAATAAACATTCTTCTAAAGCATTATTCAATTTACGAAATAAATGAATTTACCATGTTCATTTATCATTATACATTATTTGTAATGCTCCAGTGAATGTCTGTTTCTGAAAACAGAAATGACAAAATTTATAGTATAAATAACGTGCTTTTGTTCTAATAATGTCTGTATATTGTCTGTGAAATGATTAATTAGTTTGTTATCAACTGTTGAAGAAAAGAGAATAAAGAATTTTTTTTTTAAATAATTAGTATATGGACGATTTAATATTAGCTTAATTAGTTTAAAATATGTAATAAATTTCAATATTTCAAAACTAAAAACTATATCTCTTTAATAGTTTATAGACAGATAAATTTTTTATTATTATGTTGGAAATCATGTCCCGAGCATATGTTCACAGTATTAAGTACTTAGCATTAGGCAAAGATTATCTTATTTGATTTGTTCGATTTCGAAATATATTCTTAATTGCAGACATTTAATTGCAATTAAATAAAAACAATATATGTCACAAAATATTCTAAGCGTTTTTAACACTAGTAAGCATGAAAGCGAAAGTATGGAGTAAAACTGAAACAATAAAAAAAAACAAAAGGGGTATGCAACTTATGGAGCACGAATATTTCATTAATTATATATATAATATATATATATTAAATGAATGAAAATAAATTATAATAATAAATAAATATAGAATATTTATAATGAAAACGAAAATGAAAGCGCATTCGAGTTGTTTATGGTTTGCCATATTGGTAGTTTAGCGTTCTAATGGTGGTTATAATCTTGTAATTAAATGCAAGTTCAGGTACGTTGATTTCTACTCATTTATGTAGTTTGTACATTTTGGAAAATGAGGTTGTTGTGCAAAGTATTTTTTTTAAATGAATGTCATTTAGTGATTCCTACTGGTTTTTTTTATGAGCTGTGTCAAGTATAATTTTCGTGTGTTATGGACAATAATTCTGATGTAGAAAAGTACTGCGATATAATTAAGTAACATGGAAAAGCAGTTTGTTGAAAAGTATACATAACTTGAAACGTCCGACTCATACGGAATTATTAAGCTGCCTCTCATAAATGTCTAACATTATCTTTTACAGGACCAGTATAAGTAATAGATGATGCACGACGGAATTTAATAAATCATATTCCGAAATATAAGGACATGTTAAGTGCGCAGTGTTTTGTGGAATATTAATGAAATGGAATATGTTCGTTTTCAAGACATATGTGGTTTATATTTAACTATTTATAGTATAAATCATTTATCATGAAGAAACCACGGTAAGTTGAAAGTGATATTATAATCGAAAGTATAATTTTTATCGGCCTTAATGCCAATATATCGGAATAATTAAATGATAGAAATATGATCAATATTGTAAAATTCATTCAACAAAATTTTAATGCAAAACTTATTCAATATATAATTCAATCAGTATAAGTTCAATTTAGAAACGCCCCAGGTGATTATTTTTTATACATACATATCCATTATTTTATTACAATACCTGATTTAGTAAAAGCTGACATTACTATAATTTATGTACATACATTTTTATAAGTTTTTGTTAGTATTTTTACAAAAGAGCACTATATATTTCAATTAATATTAATATATTAGCTTAGTCAATTTTAATTTTACCATAAATTAATATGTGTATACATACACCTTATTTTTTTGACAACTGCTTGTGACATTTAAATACCATTCCATTTGTTTTCTTTTGAGAGCTGAGAGCAAATTGGGTTAATTTTAAGTTGTTTTGAAGTGCATTTTCATTAAATTTAATTAAGCTTGGATGTATGTACATTTATTGTCTTTAATGATCACTTTTCAGAGTTTTGTCATTGTATGAAAAATGGGAATGGAAAGCTTCTATTGAAAACTGATTGAATTAAAAGTATTGTTTAGTGCAGTATATAGAATAACTGGATTTGATCTTATTGTAGTAATATGTGGTAAGTTTTTGACATATCATTTTTTATGTTGCCTAAAAATAATCATTTCTGGGATAAATAGGTAATTTTTTTTTTAGTGCGGAAAGGGATCGCATTCGCGAGAGAGAAAGACAAGCCAGAGCTCATATGTCACTACAAGCCGAACGTGATCTGAACCAGAACACCAATTATTTGATGCTCCAGTTAAAGTAAGATATGTTTAATTATTGATATATATTTGAGCTTATATACCCAAATGCATCATTTTATTTCGGTGATTAAAAACATTTTTATATATTTATATTTTTTTCTGATGAATATAATAGCTTGTTTGAGTTACAGTTATACATATAATACTCACTTTATTATTTAATTTATCATTGGTAGATGGGATGATTTTTATAGTAGCATATGATTGATTTATGCTTTTTGTTCGCTAGATATTAATAAATCATGAATATATGTATATTTTATATATATATATATATATATATATATATATATATATATATATAATAGTTCTGATTTGTTTATTTTTGAGTTAATCAATGCAATAACCAGTCATTTATTATAATAATCAAAATATTTTAATTAACATGAAACAGGTTAAAATTTCATGATTGTATTTATCCACAAATTTAAATTGCGATTGAGATGAGATTTTGATAAACATTTGTTTTGAAATACAAGAGTCAGATGCTACTTTAAATGTAATTTTTTTGTAATAATCTATCCACACAAACTCAATGTTTTAATAGTATATGTCAGGGATTTCTTAAACATAGTGAAAGTTTATGCTAACTTAAGTTTTTTGTTATTGGTTGAGTAGTATGTATGTTGCATTTAGTTAGTGTAGTTATGAGGATGTTCTTGATAAGCATTACTTTAATACAGATAAAGCCATCATGTACTGATGATATGGGACAACAGATTCAGAGGAAATTAGGAAATTACGATAGATTGTGGACGGATGATAAAAAGCGTTATAAACATGATGGAATACCATCTTCAAATTTACTCAGTAATGGGATGCAGAACAGATCTCAACACCCGAATTTAAAAGCCAACTGGAAATATGTGCCCTGGATCAACATCTCAGCGGATGTCTTCTAATACTCTAAAACCTTCTTCATCATATAGGAGTAATATTTACAAACCTACTTGCCCAATTGATACCAGCAAACATGTACCAAGTGTTAAAACTAATATAGTTCTCTTCATACCATATGCAGCCCAATAAATATTCTGTCAGCAATCTTGATAACAGGAATGGGTTAAATAAAAATTTAACCTTAAATACTAATATGGGAAACTATCAGAATATGGTGAGAGAGATGCCCTCTTCTTATGCGGTATGTAATAGTTGTAAATACCTTTATAAATTCATACATATTTTTACCTCAATAATTTAATAACTTTCACTCTTGAAATTTATGCCTGTAGATGAATGCTGTTTGATTATTCAAAAATGTTTTTACATGCATTTGCTAATATTAGATTTGTATTTTTTGAGATGCTTATTTAATATTTAATAAATAATTGAAACTAAAATCTTGTACATTCTATTTGCAGAATAACTGTGATGTAGGTCTGCGTGGTAATGAAGTTGATACTATTTTGAAGGTAATATTATTATTCAATATATGCCATATAATTTACTTATACTTTAGCTATTCAATATTAATGAAGCTATTAAAAAATCAAATATTGATATGATATTAATTTTTCAGGAAATGACCTCGTTGCCCTTAACCCCACTAACTTCTATTGCTGCTACTCCGGGAAAAGAAATAGATCACAAATTTGAATTTAACAGTGGATTTGTAAAAGTAATTATTTTATTTATTATTATATTTCAATAAGTATAATGATGAATTTTAAAAATTTTATTCATTATAAGTTAATTGATATGTAACAAAGGCAAAATTATTTTAAATCCTCATTTTAGGTGCTCGAACCATGTCCTCGGAAGCCAAGTCCAATTCCTAGTCCTACATGTAAGTTAATTTAGATGTGTTCATATTAATTAATAAATGTTACTTTCCCACTTAAAAACATGTTTTTGTACTTGATTGAATTTTTATACTTTACACCTTGATCTATATCTTATTTGTTGATTATAATGTGATAATTTATATTATATTTATTTGTGAGTATTGAATTTTGTGTACTTTATGATTCATACTTTCTGGAAATTTATTACTTACTATTTTATTTACAAAAATTGCTATTGTAATGCAATTTTGCATTACATATATTCGGCTTATTTGATATTTTTATTAACTCTATATGTTGGAAGCTTGAAATATTAGGTTTTCTTCATATCATTATTTTTGCAAAAGTTATATTTTGTTAATTAAATAGGATATATGTTAAGTTTATAAATATCAAATATTTATTTGATTTTAATTAAACCTTTTGATATCAAAAAATTCAATATTAAGTTAATGGTTTTTATGAATTATGAAAATATTTCAGATA